ATTTCAGCTAATATGTTATTTTCCCGTAGATGTAGATTTTTCATATTTATTTGAGTGATATCGTTTTAAAAAATTTACTATCTACTATATTTGAATTTCTTTTTAAACTTTGCTTTAAATGCAAGTTGTTATTAAAATAAGCAAAAAAACAAGGTTGAAACTGTGATATTGTACTATTATTATATTTCTTCTGAAGGCAGAAAAAACATGATCTATAACAAATTACTTGTGGGATGAAAAACAAATTAACTGGATGAGACACTTGGGCCCATTAGGCATATTTCCATGGTGCTTGTCACCATGGCAAACAAGGAGTCATGCATTTCTGGTTTTCTTTGTTTCAGTTCTAATAACATGAGTTTCTAATATGTTTGAGATCACAGTACTATGGGCAAGGGATATGACAAACAAGAGGGGGAAGACGTCACCATTAATCTGACTTTAGTTCTACTAAGGCAGACCTTTGCCCTGAATTTTGGCAGCTGTATCTTCCTGCCTAATGGAGATCTCCATCCGGGTTGCCTGTAGTATTGCCGATTTAGCATGTCCTGAAGAGAATCTGTTTCTCCACCCAGACCTCCTCTACCCCCTGTAAGTGTATACTTTGGTAGCACAACAGTCTACACAGAGAATATCAATTCCCAAGACGTGAATTTTCTTTACAAATATCCTTTGATATTGACCCCTATTTTCTGTAATAATTCATTTAGGCTGCTATAATCTTAATCATTCAATAAATATTGAGCACTTACTATGTGACAGAACCCATTTTAGGCACAAAGGGGTCAAAGATTAGAGAAAAAAAAGACAAAGCCTTGCCCTTTGGAGGGTGTGAGAGGTGGGCAGGTGAAACAGGAAATCAGTCAGTCAGAAATTTGGGATTCACGTGACTACTTCAGGCAATCTGAAGAGGAAAAGTTTAACCTAAGACTTGAAGGGTGGAGTCTGGAAATAGTACCGATGACAGCGGGTGTGACAGTGATGGGAGACAGGACAGCTTGCTAGGCCAGGAGGAGTTCAGCCTTGTGCTTAGCATGCTCTGACACAGACAGTAGTTGGCAGGGGTAAAATATGTGTAGGTGCCTTATAAGGAAATCTGAATTGTATTTATTTTAAGCACAATGGGAATTCACTGAACATTTTTAGGGAGAAAAAAACAAGATATGAGTTAAGATTTTCAGAGAGAACATTGTGGCTGTGCTGAAGGAATAGATTGCAGTAGGGACAAGGTGGAAGCAGGGAGGTCATTTGGGACTGTTGTAGTGGTTGCATGAGATATGTTCATGATGGGACCAGGCTGATGCCAGTGCAGATAAGGGAAATTGTCTTCATCCTCAACCCTGAGACACACTCTTAATTGATCTGCTAGAGTTCCCTGTCCTTTCTATAAAATAAGCTAAGAACCATGGTATCCTGAATGTTCATGGTTCCTGCACTTTTCTGACCCACAAGGAGACGTATGATTACCAAGAATCAATTTTGTTTCCAAATCTGTATACAAGCTAGGTTTAAAGTTAAATTTTAAAGAATTTATAGTACTATGAAATAATAAAGTAGGAGTACAGAACATCCTTTCAATGGAAAACTAGGTCAAGGAATACTTAGACTTCTTAAAATTATAGGCAAACTTCAGTACAAAACTGCAGAGAGAGAGAGAAAGGGAGGGAGGAGGGAGAGAGGGATGGAGGGAGAGAGAGACAGAGAGAGAACGACAGCGAGCGAGCGAGCGAGAGGAGAGAGGGAAAGAACTGACCCTTTCTGTCAGAGATTCCTTTTCATGTCTGTTGTCATGCTGCAGACGCCGAAGCTGGTAATCAGAAAATTCATTAGGGGTATGGTTTACCAGAAGAGGTGAAACTCTCATTAGTGAAAGTACTCAAAGAAAGGTCTTGGACTTTGAGCAGAATATTAACAAGCGAATATATGCTTGTGCACACTAAATTAAAATAACACGTTTAAGGTATTGTGATTGCTGTGTTCCTCCCTGACTCGTCACACTGGCTGAGTGAGCTTCTGCTCCGCTCTGGAGCTAGAATTGGCATGATGGATGACAAGGGGGGTATAGGATGGGATAATGATGACAGCCACCACTTGCACAGGCTGAAATTCACCCTGCCACTCTGCTTTTAAGAAATATAGTGGAGGCTTGTACTTTTTGCTCATCTTTGCTCTCATTCTTGGCTTTCACCATGACTAATCCTATCACCATGTTTACCACAGTACAAGCATATATATGGTCTATGAAGGAGTCTAAGAGTTTCGGAGTCATTGATATGTCAAACAGACATTTCTCTCCCTTTAGCTTAAAAGAGAAACTTTTTTCCTTTTCTTTGCTAATAAAATGTAAATTTTGTTCCAGATGCATGCCTGTTCTTCTATACAGACCAGCCTATATAAAAGACTTTATCTCTTTGAACTTCGTGAAGGGAACGTGAGTCTCTTAATAATTTTTACAACTCAGGGCCAACACACAGTGGATGGTCAATAGTGGTTCAATTAATAGATGAAAGAGGGGCTGGGGATTTAGCTCAGTGGCAAAGCGCCTGCCTGGCAAGCGCAAGGTCGTGAGTTCGGTTCCCAGTACCGGAGAAAAACCAAAAAAAAAAAAAAAAAACCAAATAGATCAAAGAATAGGCTATCTGAATTGGGAGCTATCTTTGCAGGCATTTAATGATGTTACAGCCACACTTTACTAGTATGAACTGCATGTTTATGCATACCCTCTTCATTTGAGTGTTGAACTTAACCCTCAGAGTGGTCGTATTTGGAGATGGGGTCTCTAAGGAAATAAGGTTACATGAGGTCATAATAGTGAGGCTTTGATCTGACTTGACTGATCTCCTTATAAGAAGAGATACTACATGCACATTCAAAGCTCACACAAGAGGTCATTTTAACACAAGCCAGATGTTGCTGCCTACAAGCCAAATAAATGGCCTTTGAACGAAATCTATCTTCCCAGCACCTTGATCTTGAATTTCCAGACTCCAGACCTGTAAGAAAATAAAATTTCTGTGATTTAAGCCACTTAGTCTGTGACATTTTATAACAGCAGTTCAGGTAGACTAACATATGTATATGTGTAGAAAAATTGTTTTCTGTTTCATAAATATTTCATTTTCTAGAAGTTTTAGAAGTAACTTTTGATATGTCTAATAGATGTTTTTTCCTTTAGCTTTCAGGAAAATTTTTTCTTCACTTTTTCCTTGCTGACAAAATGTACAATACAGAAAATTTTTTTCCCCTTGAATTTACAAACACAAACACAAAATAGTCTTTATCCTGGTATGATTAACCACAAACCCAGTGGCTTAAAGAGTGGCTAGAGGCTAAGATTCTTTTGCTCTTCTCTGTTGATCAGACTTCATGTGAGGTCAAAACAAGAGGAAGATCGGGTGTATCTGCAGCACGGTCGTCTCTGTATGAGGAACGATCTCCCAGAACCTCTCGCACACTCCCATTTGTCTCCTCAGCCATGACAGTAACACACTCAAATCTAAGCCTAAGAGGAGCTGAGAAGCCAGTTTTTTCAGTTCCTATCATGGTGGTGGTAAAGCAGAAAAAGGATGCAAATAAATATTTGTTGGGTCAGCGAATGACAGTGCCAGCTGTCCAAAGGAACTGGGAAATTTAGATTGGTAGATCAACTAATTCTGGAGACAGAATCCTCCAGAGTTAGACTTGATAACTCCATGGAAGTGTTTCAGTGAAGGACTTTGGCTGTGATGTGACTAACGCTGACCTGTTTGACTACAATTAGACTGCAGACATTATTTAAGGTTAACACTTACTCTCACCAGTATCTACTATCATAAAGCAGCCACTGCCTTTCAGTTATTGAACATATACTGGCTGTTTTGTTTTGTGTAAAAATGAGTGCTCTTTCCTGTGAATGATGAACACAAGAAAGTGCCAAGGGAGGTATGTTCTAATTTGAGACTGTGGTTAAAGCCACGGTTATGATTTTACCCATAATTGTTATCTGGCCAAAAAGCTACCTACAGTTTCCTGTGTGCTAGCACATCTAAATTTACATTCCATCCTCATGATCTTACTTCAAAAACGCACTTTTAAAAATGGAGAAATAATTTAGTTTTCATAATCACTGGCACCACTTAGTGGTGGTGGTGGTAATATTGTCAGATCAAGCACAGACTATGGCAAATTCTTACGAAGTGTAGTCTAAAATGTCATTCAAATATATCAGAATAAAAAGGCACATATTCTAATGGACTAACAAATAGGAAAAAAAAGCGGGGTTTAAGATAAAAAATGTCATGACTATTACACAAAGGCATGACCTATATAATCCTATACAGCAGCTACAGGTGAACTACACAATTTGGCTTAGAGTGTTTAAAAGGCAAAGCAAAGAGTCTAAGAGAGTAAGCAGTCTTTCAAACCATTAACTGGTCAAGAAAAGAACAGGTTTTACTACTAGTGAGCCTGAGAAGAATTTCCTCCTTGGGTCCTCATAAGGGGATTTCTGTGATATAGCAGGTGTCAGTCTTAAAAACACAAGCACAGAAGTGTACGTTTCAATGATTGTTTCTGCTACTCAAAGTCAAGGGCACAAAAAACAAAGTAGAATGCAGTAAAGGCAATGCTATCAGGGGGAATGTGCTTCAATATGTAGCTTTCTGAAGATCGCCTAAGATGAAACTGACATTCCTCTCTTTAGTAGTTGGGCATATGAATTTCTTTCAGTATAACTCCCAAATTCCTTTCTTCCTATAAGTAAAAACATCCATTTCAAAGCAAGACAAATTATTTTCAGGACCTAGGGCCATGCTTCCCTCCTAATATCACAGACTGTTGAGCCAGACTATACAGATGATTTACCTGAGAAACAGCTTTCTAAATAAATGTGTTTTAAGTGAGTGATCTCAGAGTAGCAGCAGAGAGATGAAACATTTTAAAATGCTATGTTGGATGGCTGCACTACCTAAACATGAACTTAAGTCTTAAAGGTTTAAGTTACAAGATTGTTCACAAAATTGTTTGATTCAGTTACAATTTTTTATTAATATTGGTTGCATTTGAAGTGCACTGCACCTACTCACAAATGCTTTTGAAAGATGACCAATGAAATAAAAAGAAACTTAGAAAATCACAGACTCATTCCACATCTGTGATAAATAGCCTTTAAATATAATTTACAACAATTGTAGAGATAAGGAGAACACAAAGTAGAGGAAAAATGCTATTCAACATTGGAAAACACAGCTACTGTTGTAATGAAAAAATAATTTATTAAATGAATATAATACTGGGAATAAAATGCATTATAAAAGTAAAAAAGTAAATCCTAAATATAAATAATAGTGGTTTACCTAATAGTTTTTTTCCCTCCTTTCAAAACTTTAAATACAATCTTTAATTTAAAACTCTGATTTTAAAGTACGTGGTTCCCTTTAAGACAGACATGAAGCACTATAAGATCTGAAACTTGGCAAAAATCATCTTGTTTTATTATTAACATCAATTAGAGGGCTGGGGATATGGCTCAGAAGCATAAGTGCTTGCCTGGCGAGCCTGAGGTCATGAGTTTGACTCCGGGTACAAAAAAAAAAAATAACGTCAATTAGAGTTCATTTAAGTGACTGTTCATCATAAGCTTTTTGAAAAGTCTAGAATAATAACTTAAAAACGAACATGCACATTAGTTTATTATATTTATTTCTGCCTCTAAAAATAATAAACACATTTCTAATACACTTTGTGAAAATGTTCCTAGCCAGAATACTTGTGTATTCTGACACAGACTTAAAATTTGGGTACTTTGGTATAGTTTCCTTTTAAGAACAAAGGTTAACAACAGCTACTGGATGTGTTGATTTATTTCAGTAGAATTTTAAACAACCATAACTTAATATGCACGGTAAGATACTGGTAAACTTTTAGATAATAAAGGAAAAAAACCAGAGATTGTTATTCTATTTTCCCAGTAAGGTTCTCTCAGGTTTTATAAAGCTTATGTAATTCAGTACACCAGCTGGGATTTCAAAATGCTAGTACTGCAATACATATTAACAGCAATATGCAAAACAGTAGAAATAGAGAATCAACAAATAACTTCATACTATAAAAATGAAACAAGGCACTTTTGATAAATATACACAGAGTTGAAACAAGCATAAACATTTTTTGTGAAGTTGACTCACACCCTAAGAGACGTTTGTAAAAAGTGAAACAGTAAAGGCACTACATAATTTTTCCAGTTCACTACCCTTACTAAAGAAATTCACTAATTAAACTTGGCACAAAATAGTTTAATTATAAAGTGCATCACTTGGCTAAATATATTAAAAAGAAAATCAGCCATACCACATATAACAACGTCTTCATATGTACAGAAATAAAAATGCAATGCCAAGTGTCAAACTAGTTAGGAATTTTGTAGTGCATATGGCTTTTTATTGTGGTTTCTTTTTTTAACTACTTACTTCCTTAGAATCTATATTTTCAAAAGAATATGCCTTGATTAGCAAAAAGAGGTAGTATTCTGAAAGAGGCAAACTCACTGAATCTACAGGTAGAAATCTAAAATGTAGAAAATACTTGGCTATAGCTTTAATAAACTAGGATACTTACAGTATCTTGCTATTATGATTTGGAATTTAAAATCACGGCTATTTTGCCACTTTAGCTGAATGGAGACAGCTCTTTAAAACAGTTTTCCTTTGGTAGTAAAAATCATCTTATTCTTTTATATATTAACATTTCAATAAGTTAATTTTATTTAGAGATGATAAACATGTCAACATTTAATACTCATTTCACCTATACTTTTAATACGATGTTCACTGATTTAAACTATTAATGAAAATATGTCACGTCAGAGATACAAAGAATTATCACGCAGATAGTAACATGCAGTTAATTTCCATTTGACTAATATAGCTGCAGTTTAAAGCAGGTGCGAACACACAGGCACACAGACTTGTTCGGAGCAACATGATAGGCGAACACCGTAATGATTTACGCACAGTGCTGAAGAACATGGGCACTGGTAATAGAATTCTCACTAGATTTTTTTTCAGTGCATTAAATACAAGGCTGGAAAAAGACAAAGCAGCAGTGAATACATTTATGACTCTAATAACTTAAAAAAATTTTATGTAAACTTTATACATTTAATTTCTTGTTCTTTTTGTAACCGTTTCGGTATTTTCTTTTTAAATGGCATTTGCCACTCCATTCTAAACTTGGTAATGCATTGAAAGGGAAGGAAGTGCTTGCGCTGTATTAGTCTTCTTCAGCACCATATGCCACTTCCGCCACTTCTATTTCTGATACAGCATTTTCAGGGTCACTAGAGCTAAAGTGTGGCTTATTATCAGCTCTGTAAGAAAAGAGAAATGTGTCAGTAAAGGACTGGATGTATGCTATTTCACTACTTAGTATTAACAATTATCCTGGACTCACATGAAATACAAGTTCTATGTGCTTTAGATACATAATTTTTTCATCATCCCTATGAGATAGGCAGAATGGTTGCTATTATGATATTCTACTTTTTGAATGGGATATGGGTGAGGAAGATTAATTTGTTAAGATTTACAAAACTAATGAATTAACTTTGTCATAGCCCAGTTAATCCAGACATTGCTTCAAAATTTACACGCTGATGCCAAAGACACATTTTTAGAGAGAACCTAGCTTACCGTCTTTCTCTGTTAGCTCAGAATATTCATGATACATTAACACTGAATTCATAAAAAAAGTATTAGAAAGGTTTTTTGCAACTACTTAAATGATTAGGCTACAATAAAGTTAACACTATGTACCTAGATTCTTCATCTAAGACATCTCGGTCACTCGTAAGTGCAGAGGACTCCACCCTTAGGATCTGTCCATTTTTTGTTTCAGACACGTAAAATGATTCTTCCGGTTCTAGAGACAATGTTCTAAAAGTATGTTTAAAAGCAAAAAATTATCTTCCTTGAATACAGTGGATTCATTTTTCTCAATACATGCAGTATTTGTAGTCTTTAGGTGTTACGTCACATAGCTAGTTGCTCCCTATGGGAGTCAACAGGGAAATTCATAGCTGTCATTAATTTAAAATGAGTTTCAGCATCAACTCAACATATGCTAATATAAAGATAGACCAGAACTTTCACATGTGAAAAATTGGCATATATGTTAAGAAGCAAAAATGCCATTTAGATGCACTACAATGATTCATGTTTATGCTGAACAACAAAATGTTGATTTCCTGCTATTCCCCATCCTTCAAATATGCAGCCTCCTAAATTAAAAGACAACTGTTTCAATTTACAAGGCCAAGATTCTACAACTTTCAGATTGAGAAACATGGTAAATCATATTAAAATATACAGGTTACTTAGCCCAGAGCACTGGGAGTTTAATTAGTAAGACTACAAATAAAAACATCACAACCTACCTGATTCTGTTCTCTAACGTGTCTATGTGAAGTTGCTTCTCACTAAGCAGTTTCTTCAGGGATTCCACCTCTTTTTGTTTTTCAAGTAGTTCTCTCTGTAAATGGTAGTTTGTCTCTTCTAAGGTTTCACAGAAAGCCTTAAATAAACACACACACACAGAATAAAATTACTTACTGATGCAGTGTCTTTCTTAAGAATATTACTGAAGATAATATGCACACAATCCACACAATTTGTTCTCTACACTGCTTTTAGATCACTGCTATCTTGGCATTTTGGTCCCTATGCACGAAGGGGACTTATAATTACAAGTCTGTTTTCTTGATAATTATTATAGTAGTAAGCCAATGAGCCTGAAAATAGGTACATATTATAGTAAGATTTAAAAAATTTTAAATCTTTGAGTACACTTTGAACCACTTTACATGAACGTATTTTAAAATACAGACAGTATGGTCAATTTTCAGAAAGATATAAATTATCAAAATTGATCTCCCCTCACACAGATAATATGAATACAGTACAGTCACTAAGGAAGTAAGAACAGTTGTTAAAAATCTGAAAAATGAAAACAAACTAAAGAAAACACCAGACTCAGGTTTATATGCAAGTTCTAGGGAACACTCAAGAAAAAACAACAGCACTGTAACCCTAGACAAACAGTTCTGGAGAATGAAAACTTAGAAAATCTGTATTATCTTGACAGAAGTTTCAATGATGGCAGTAACAGGAAAATTACAGACCAAAAAATTCTAAGTAAAAGAACTATAATCCATATTCAGCAATTAAAACATACTGAATTTCTCAATCTCATAAATGAGCATTTTATATCATCTGAAAATCCATTAATGTAATTTATCACACTAAAAATCAAAGAAAAACAGATGATCATCTTATGAATGTGAGTAAAAGCGCTAGTATCATTGATACACACTTAGGAAACTAGAAATAGATGACTTCCTTAATCTAAAAACAAAAACAAGGACAATAAAGAAACACAATTCACAATTACCAACAGCTTACAGATAGTACCATAGCTAATTGTGAAACGCAGAATCATTTCCTTCAAAACTAGGGAGAGAGGAAAAAGATCCTCATAATGGCTTTAATTTACCTCCAAAGGTCCGAGCTAGCACAGTAATACAGAAAAATGAAATGACAGATATTAGGGATTTGAAAGGAAAAAACATAACTGTTAATACTATAGGGTATATGAGTGACTGTACAGAAATTCCAAAAGGACCTACAGACTAAGGAGCGATTTCAGCAAAGAAGCAACATAAAAAAATAAATACAGAGAATCAACCATGTAAGAATAATACTAGGCACTCTAATGACAGTTGTCATTAATTCATTTTGGCATTGCCAAAACCAATGAGTATCAAATTAATTTTTTCCAAAAGAAAAAATAATTAGAAATAATTTGTGAAACCTCTCCAGAACTTTCACTGTAACACAGAACCTTAAAACTAAAGACAGGAAAGCAATTAATTACATAAAAATGTGATGAAGGATTTTCTCCCATGGGGCTATGTGGTGACTCTTACAAGTTCTAGCAAGTGCAACGGCTCCTCAGCAAGTGCTGAGGGCTGAAATTTCTTTCTCATCAGGTTTCTATCTGAATTGGGTAGGAGTTCTGAAGCTAGTGAGTACCAATATATGACTGTAACTTAGAATTCCGAAAAGAGTAAGGCAGAGAACCCTTTCTCCACCAGACACTAAGGTTTAAGAAGCTACAACAATTAGCAGTGTACTACTGGCAGAATAGAGAAACAGACAGTGACAGAGCTGACTGACCACAAATAGTTGTAACAAATGATTTAAGACTGAGGAAGAGTTCCTCACTAGTGAAGGAAGGATGAACATCTCAATAAATGATGTTGCGATGGATGACTCTCCACACAAAAAAGTCTGGCTTAGTTAAAGAACCTGATGTGAAGAACCAAAGTTTAAGCCCGTTAGGGAAAAAATTTAGAATATCTTCATGTCTTGAATTGTAGGGAAGAACAAAAATCACAGAAAACATGTCAAAGTATGAAACGGGAAATTTACAGAAGTCCTAAAAGAGCTACTTTCTACATCAGCTGGTAATCAAGAAAATTAGGCTAAAATTAAAAGGTTGACAATATAATTTGTGAAGATATGGAGCAATGGGGAAGTACGCTGTTGGTAAAAGTACAAACTAATCTTTCACATCTGGAGAATAATTTAAGCATATATTGTGAAATTGAAGAAAATATTTTACTACAGAACAATTTTATTTTTGAGTTGAAATGTTTAGCAATTATTTGCTAAATTGTATGGCATATTTTTATATATCTTATATAAATTCTTGGGTTTCATCCAAAAATAAAAACCATCCCAGGAAGGGATCTCAGGGAAGATGTGTGTTATGGTTTGTATCTACATGTCCCCCTAAAGCCTCATGCAGTCATGGGGTGGGCTTCTAGAATTTTTGATTGATTCATGGTCCAATGCTGGAATTATGCATATGGGTGCTTCACCTGCCCTGGGGCAGGTAGCCTGCATAAAATATAAGGCAGGGAAAGAGGCTTGCTTTCTGCTGCTCTTCCCCCCAATTTTTGCTCTTGTTGCTTTTGCTGTCTTCCACTGCCATGAACTGTTGCCCCTCTGCCATGCCACCCTGCTTTGGAGCTAGCTGATTATGGACTGAAATCTCCACAAACTGTGAGCTAAATAAACCTTCCCTTCCTTAATTCTGGATATCAGGTATTTTGTCCCAGCAATGAGAGAAAAGTAACCAAGACA